CACAGTAGGCAATATGAAAGTCCATTTGTTTTCTCATGAATTTTCTTCAGGCACTGAAGATTCAGGCAAATAATTGACAGTCATTTTCAACTAGATATTAAAGACTCACACCTTCTCTAAACATTTTTGTGAGAGAATGCCCTATCAACTTATAACTAATCCCCTAATATCCTCTTACAGAGTTAACTTTGTTTTATTATTTGTTTTTGCACTACTCTGCTTTTTATAATAAGAATCAGTGTACAGTGCCAATGTTAGCATAGCAAATTATTATCAGAAATTGGGTTAACTTTATTAAGTTTCCATTTAGTATTTTTTATTTAACTATAATTTATACAAGGGAATGGTTCATAGCTGCCCAAATTGTCTGTGAATTTAACTTATTTGTAGTTTAAGAAATCAATATACTTTCTACCTTTAAAGAAAATCCATTCTATCTCCAGAATGTAAAATTAAAATTATAACTATTATTTTAAAATTTTAATTCCTACATTAATAATAATGGTTTATTAATTTAGAATAAAAAAAAACACAGATGGCTTTGGTTTCTGTACTAAAACCTTAGATTAGTGTACAACCAGACAGAAATTGAAAATGTCTTTTCCTGTTACTTAAAGATAATCTTAAGTCAATTTATTTCTCTTTAATTGGGAACAGGTTTGAAAGAACTTCCCAGATRTATTAGCTAAGTTTGTTTTTAGTTATTTAAATTTAGCTAATAAATATATGTAATAAAATTCCAGAGTATGAGCATTCTAGGAGTTTAATAGGTTTAAATTTTCAACACACATAACAAGTAAAACCTTAGTTTTTCTTTGGACTTTGTATTGATCAAATTTCCATGAACTAGTTATACTTCTAATATTTTAATTGAGAACACTTAGAGACATGAATATGCTTTGTTATACTGTAATTGGAGATCTAGTTAGTCAAGGAAATGATGGTCTTTTGCCAAAATTAATTCTGGCAAGCAACTCTGGAATAATATATTAAATCCCAAACCATAAAAACAGCACCTCAGAAAAAAGGAACTGATGATTCAAGGTTGGCAGGGTCTCCCTGTGCTTAATTTAAGGACTAGCTTAAAGGCTGGTCAAAACAATATTGGAAAAGTACGAATTTCTCTTTCCAACATGTTCCCAGAGTTCAAAAATATAATGAAGATATCAAAAAKATTGTTGAAAATTACAGCTTTAGAAAATTAGGTCACAAGATGAATTTGGAAGCTATCAATAAATAAGAGCCAAAAATTATAATAGAAATGTTTTTTTTTTTGAAAGCCTTTATACAATTTCCCTCTGAGGAATATTTGTTTGCCTGTATTCTCCCTCCTTCTTAGCAATATGTTTCCTCTATCTAGACTTGTTAATTAATTCCTCATTAAAGAACTTAATTTTTGAAGGTAACAAGCTTTATCATACAATTCACAAGTAAGTTCAACTCCATGAAGTCATGACCCTCCCATTTAATTCTCATCCTYGTAACTGTAAAGCGCTTATKCTTACATAGTTCTGGTTGTACCTTCCATTCACATTGTCCTTTCAGTGATGGTACACTGCTAGAACCTCCTTAACAAAGAACTTAGGGGCCATAACTGCCTTTTTTAAAATTATTTTTTTAATTTATATATGACAGTGGAATGAATTACAATTCATATTACACAGATAGAACACAATTTTTCATATCTCTGGTTGTATACAAAGTATATTCACACAAATCCATGTCTTCATACATGTACTTTGGATAATGATGACCATCACATTCCACCATAATTTCTAACCCCATGTCCCCTCCCTTCCCCTCCAACACCTTTGCTCTATCTAGAGTTTGTCTATTCCTCCCATGCTCCCTCTCCTTACCCCACTAGGAATCAGTCTCCTTATATCAGAGAAAACATTTGGCATTTGATTTTTTGGAATTGGCTAACTTCACTTAGCATATCTCCTCCAGCTCCATCCATTTACCTGCAAATGCCATGATCTTATTCTATTTTATTGCTGAGTAATATTTCATTGTGTATAAATGCCATATTTTTTTTTATCCATTCATCTACTGAAGGGCATCTAGGTTGGTTCCACAATTTAGCAGTTGTGAATTGTGTTGCTATAAACACTGATGTGGCTGTGTCCCTGTAGTATGCTATTTTTAAGTCCTTTGGGTATAGACTGAAGAGAGGGATAGCTTGGTCAAATAGTGGTTCCATTCCCAATTTTCAAATAAATGGGATGGATTCAAATTTAAAAGTTTCTTCTCAAAAAAATAAACAATCTGTGAGGTGAATAGAGAGCCTACATCTTGGGAGCAAATCTTTACACCTCACACATCAGAGAGAGCACTAATCTCAAGGGTATATAAAGAACTCAAAAAGTTAAACACCAAAAAACAAACAAACAAACAAAACAAATAACCAAATCAATAAATGGGCCAAGGACCTGAACAGACACTTCTCAGATGATGATATACAATCAATCAATAAATATATGAAAAAATATTCATCATCGTTAGTAATTAGAGAAATATAAATCAAAACTACTCTAGGATTAGATCTCACTCAAGTCAAAATGGAAGTTATAACGAACACAAGCAACAAGAAGTGTTGGTGAGGATGTGGGGATAAAGGTACACTCATACACTGCTAGTGGGACTGCAAATTGGTGTAGCCAATATGGAAAGCAGTATGGAGATTCTGTAAGTGCCTTTTATATATAACTTTTTAGAGTAAGACACTTCAAAACTAAGTAAYATACTTTTGTATACATTGTTTGTGAAAGAGCTATGGAATATTCAAACAACCATTGTTAGTAGTCTGGTCTATCTATTTTATTTCACAAATAAATCAATTGAAGAGAGAGGAAAAGGTGAATGAGTGAATAAGTGCAATGGTAACTAGATGAAAAAATAAATTTTCTGTGAAGTAACACATAGACAGATATAGAAAAGCAAGGAACTCTGTCAAAATCCAGTTTTGATTTAAACTAGCTTGATCTTTTTTTTTGCCATCATAGAATCTGAACCACTTGATCTGGGTGTGTGTGGGAGTGGGGTAGAGACGAAAAGTGATCTGTACCTTGTGTGGAAATTATCCACAACATAATTTAGGGATTTCACTCTCCAAAACAAGAGAACTACATGAACAACTTAGTCCAGATCATATATTTCCTGATAAACTGGGAAAGTTTGCTCCTGGTTAGGTGAGTAGGCACTTGTTACATAGAARAAAGATCAATGTCCTGGTGATGGATAAGTAAAGAAAAGCATTATTGCCTATGAGAGTCCTTGGTATAAATAGTGTATTTTAATTATCTGAATATTAATATGAAACTAACTCCTAAAGGAAAAGAGTTTTTCTGAAACTTATAATATGAAAAGGACAAAGAACATATAAGAACTTACAATAACAGATAATAATGAGAAGAAATTAATTTTAAGCCTAATAGAATCCCACCTATATCTTACTATACCTATTGATTACTATTCTTCAATGTGTTTTGGCTTATGCCTCCAATACCCATTCTATATCTAGTTTTACACAGGCATTTTCTCCTACATTTTGTATATATTTTCCCTTTATATTAAAATGAAAAAAAACCCAAAATAATTAAATTGGATACTGGACAATTTTCATTTGATAGAGAATCATAGATCCCTATATTAGGTTTTAAAATGCTTTATAAGCAACATTTCACTCAAAATGTTTAAAATACATTAGGTCTATATTAAAATAAAATTTRATTAGTGAGGGAAAAAAAGATTGAAATTTTGTTAATATTTAAGGTAAAATAAGAAGTTTTAAAACACAAAATCCAGAGTTGCCTAGACTAGAAGAGCTTAGGAGTACCTGTAAAGGACTATCTTTATATGATGAAAAATGTCCTCTTTCAATTAACTTACACTGTTCAGAATGTCTCATAAGGAACAGAGACTTTTTWAAGTGAACATATAAATAGGTTAGTGTGGCAATCGTGTGAACTTATTAGCATGAAGTAAAAAGTGTAATAATACTTCAAGAAATATTAGTAAGGGGAATAAGGAATGTACAAGTTGATTTAGGCACTTCATTTTCCCAAATCACAGACATAAAGTGGTTTCGTTTCACATTCCATTCTGTTACAGTACTTTGGAAATACCTCTCAGACTATCTATATTCTTCAGGAGCAATAACTATAGTAATTACTTTGTGAGAAAACATAATTCCAATGCAGTCTGATTTAATCACAAACAGAAAGTGCTTATCCTTATGTTTTGGCGATGAAAGACATCAGTGARGCTGTTACTTTAATAGATTAACAATGTCTTCTATAGTTGAGAAAGAAAAGGGAGATGATGGCAAGTAGCTTATTAGTTTGTATCCTGATGATAGTCAAAGAATCTTAGAATTCTAAGATTCAAACATTCCTAAAGATAATATAATTCCCTTGCCAATCTAATTGCTGAAACCATCCATTTGTTTGAAATGTAAGTCACATTTTATACTAGATCATAAATTTCTGAAAAACAACAAATTGGCTGAATTTATAGACCAAAAAAAAATCATACTTGAAATAAACAAAAGTGAGTGCTTTCAGCAAGTAAAACCCTCCAGTAGTAAAATGTGCTTCTTCTTAAGTAGAGATTACCCCATTTTAAACATTATTCAGGAAACTTTTTTACACACATATGTCTGGAATAAAGGGAAATGATTACTGTAGATCACATTGAGCTTTCAATCTATTTTTTAAAATTTAAAAATAAAATATGAGTACCTGTCCTAGCAATATTACATATGAAATAGACACTTATTAACTAAATATGGAATTCAATTCTGGGAAACCCCAAACAAAAAAAGTTTTATGGTAAAACATTATTCTTCTAATATAAAATAATTGAAATGATTTGTAAAAGTGTGCTCAAACAATTTTGTTGAAAGCAAAAATAGTKTACTATAAAATTTAAGTAAATAATTGATTAAATATTCCAATATTTTTGAGATAACCTGAAAAGATAATATCCTTGTGTTATAGAATATAAATGATGAGCCTCCTGTATGCAATCCACCACATTTGGAAACTTGGATTTACTCCATTGTTAAGGCTCCTTTTGTTCACCTCAACTGTTCAGACAGAGATTCTCCAAAGGAACATCTGAGCTATTCAATTGTAGGAGGTAAGACAGATTATTACAAATACATAAGACAGATTATTGCAAAATACATACATTATTTGCTATTTTATAAGATACCCATGTGAGATATTTTGTAACTGTTGTAAACAAATTGGGGAACAGTAGTAGTAGCTGAAACAAATTGGGGAATACTTTTAAATAAAAACTTAAACTGTAGAAACAATAATACATAATGTAGTTTTTTGTTTTATTACTTCATCATTTTCAGGAAATGCAAATAATCAGTTCACACTTCGGAGATTGGGTGTTGAACCTCCTTTTCTGGTCATCAGTCAGAATTTCCAGGATGATGTATTTCAAGGGATTCAAGACCCAGTGACTTTCCAGTTGCTTATTGAAGTCACTGATGAATTAGGTGGGAATAAAGCTCGTCAGCTGTCAGCTACTACTACAGTCATAATTCATGTGCTTCCCTGGACCACARCACAGCCAACTTCTTCCACAAAAACATCTACAACTACAGTAAGTATCTAGTGATAAACTGCAATTCTAAAGTAGTCTGAATTAGTCATGAATATAGAAAGTGCTTGGGTACTCTCACAGGATTATCCTGATGTTTTGGCAATGAAAGACATAAATGAAAATTACTTTAGTTCTGATGAATTCTCATCATCAAAATAAGGATAAATCATTGTTAACTATTAAATTTGAATTAAAGTAAATATATCGGGGCTGGAGATGTGGCTCAAGCGGTAGTGCGCTCGCCTGGCATGCGTGCTGCCCCGGTTCGATCCTCAGAACCACAAACAAACAAAGATGTTGTGTCTGCTGAAAACTAAAAAATAAATATTAAAAATTCTCTCTCTCTCTCTCTCTCTCTCTCTTAAAAAAATAAAGTAAATATATCTATGTTAATAATTTTGCAGGCCTTTATGCCATTTAGTTTAGGATACTTAGTAATTTTGTAGATTCTAAATATAGTATACTTTTCTTTATTTAAATTAATACTCAGAACAGTTATAAACAAAGCACCATAATAGGTTTCTGAAAATATTTGATAACTTGTTTTCTTGAAAAACATAGTCTCACTATAGACAAGACAAAGCAACAAAAATACCATAGACTGAGTAGCTGAAACAATGAACATTCATTAATTACCATTCTGTWAGCATGGAAGCCCAAAATTAACACAATGGCCAATTCAAGGTCTGCTAAGTCCATTCCTAGGTTCATAGATATCTAACTTCTCATTATGTCCTCATGTGGTGGAGAGTTAGAGACCTCTGAGGTCTCTTTTGTAAGTGTACTAGTGCTATTTAATAGAGTGTCACACTCATGACCTAATCATATATAAAGACCTTACCTCCTAATACCATTATATTGAGAGTTAGGATTTCAATGTGTATATTTTGAGGGAACACATCATTTAGTTCCTAACATGTTTAGAACAATTTATATAAAGAATACACAGTTTAAATGATACAAATTATAGTACAATGTTATTTAACTTTGAAATTGAAAATAAGCTTTTTACTTTAGGAGGCCATGAGTTCTTCACAAAGAGAGGACAAAAATTATGATGTAGTTCTTGCCGAACAGATAGTAGTGTGTGTGTGTGTGTGTGTGTGTGTGTGTGTGTGTGTGTGTGTTAATGTAAAGAGAAGAAAAAAATTTGGATTACCCTGGGAAAATATGTATTCTGGGAAATGTTGAGAAGGTAGTGAAGCTAGAATTGCCAGAATAAAAAGGGCTGAGGATATCTCAGTAGTAAAGAAAAAGGGAGATTATGGTAAACATATAAACTATTAAACATAGAATGTCTTGACTGTAAAGCTGAGAAGTATAAATACCAATGACAGGAAGTTATAACCATTTCAAAGAAGTAAAGACAAATGCTCCCTGTTTTGTAATCTTTAAAATGCAAATAAAGAGAAAAATCAATTATGCAATAGAATTGGTCTTTTTGTATACCTCATTGATTTCAGATAGGTGGAGTTTAAAGTAGTCAACTAGGTATTCATGTCCATGTCCTCACTAACTTTAGTTAACTCAGTTAACCCAAAGAGAGATGCTGGAATTAATATAGCCTTTGTTGAGTAAATTTCTTCCATTGCTTGACTTCATGTCAAGAAGTTTTGTATTAGTTATGCAAAATCATTATAATGCAAGTTTTAATATCCTTGATAAAAATAAATTAAATTGGATAAAAATGGCATAGGACTGGTAATTCTCTCATATGCCTAAAAGAAGCAAATTAAAATGATCTATGTGGGAAAGTAACAATATTCTATGCTTCCAATTACTTCTAACAACTTTTGAATCCAGGGGATATACCACAGGATTGAACACAGCCAGGTAAATGAGAAGATATTAAAATCAAGAAGTAATACAATCATAAATGTAGAAACACAAATATAGCGATGGATTATCAAACACAAACCATAAAATAATTATGTTTATTAAGTTCAAGAACCATAAACCAAGCTTGAAATCTGACCAGGGTATTGGTGACTGTAAATATAACATAGAATATTTGAAAACAGATCAAATATATCTAAGAACTTAATACATGAAATTATGATAATAAATTGACTTAATAGCTAATTATAAATAGCTTAAGAGTCCATTAAGAACTGAAGATCCATCAGAAGAAACTATTCAGAATGATGTTTGAAGAAAAAATTGATTAAAAAATACTAGAAAAAGRCAAGGACATAAACATGAGAAGAACAGTTAGTTTATGTTGATTTGAAATACWAAAGACATAAAAGCGTCTAATTGTTTTTCAAAACTAATAGAAAAAAAAAGAAATATATATTTAAACACATAGAAAAGCTGCATAAAGTCAAATATAACATGAATATGAAAATCTATCAAGAAAAATATATTTCCTTCAAAAGAGTGTCTACATAATAGATAACTTTAAAATGGGAAGCCAGAAAAATGAAAATGTTCAARTTGCAAAGTAACTGCCAACCTAGCATTCTATACTGAATAAATGTGTGTTTAGGAGTATGTTTATGGCTTTTATATATGGTTTTGTTATATCTCAGTTTTATTATGTAGTCTTTTCATTCATTCATTTCTAAATATTCCTGTTTTCTTAACTTCTAAAGATACAAGGCATTTTCTAGTTATATTTTATTTATCGCTTATTTATTTATTTATTTATTTATTTTATTAATTTACCTGTGGACCTGGGCATTGAACTTCTAGCAGTCCACCACTGAGCTACAGGGGAAGCCTTTTTTACTTTTATACAGGGTCTCACTTTTAGAAGCTGGCCTTGAACTTGTGATCATCCTGCCTCTGCTCCCCGAGTTGCTGGGATTATAGATATGCACCACTATGCAGGGCTCTAATATAATATTTAAGATCAGAGATAATGTTAGACAGATTTCAATCCACTGAAAATCTTTTAAGACTTGTCTTACAGCCCAGTTATTATCAAATTTTGTACATGTTCATGTGGACATTTGATGTATGTATGTACTACAGAGCAATGATAAAAGAATGATAGATTCACAAAGTTATATTGGACAATCGGTATGGGTATATACAAAGTAGGAATAATCCTCTACTTAAAGGAAGTCCAAATGAAATGTAAATTTAAATGACAAAACTAAATAAAATAACTAAACATTACAAAGAATATAAGAGACTATCATAATAATTTTGGGATAAAAAATGCTTTTAGTACCAAAATAAAAAAAAAATAGTGATAAAATTTTTAGAATCTTAAATACCTTCAAAATAAGAACTTCTTATTTAAGAATGAAATAATGGTAAATCTGACATTTGCTCCAGAATAATCATAGGTGGGAAGGAATAAGTAAAAGTAAAAATTAAATCTGGCACAACTTGTGATCATTAAATCGTGTGATGTGTATCTGGTGAATTACTATATTTTTTGAGCTGTCATATACATTTTAGGTATCACAAAATAGTTTTAAAATTGCAGAAAGGGAAATAATATGATGGCTTATGTACTTTGTTAAACTATTACTGTTTGATATGGTAAATTGTTCCCCAAATATATCTCATAAATTAAGTACTCTCTTATTCATTAAAACTTTGTTATCTACTTTAGAGCTTTCTGTCACACCTCTTATATAGCCAAACTCTATAAACATGAATAGTCTTCTGGTCATCACTAAATTAGTTCTCAGTCTTTCTGCCTAGGCCAGCATAATTGATCATGGAACTTTCTTTCACACTCAACAAATATGTGTTCAAATAATTTTATAAGTCAAGTAAAATTTGCCTGAAATCCAGTTATATTGTTGGTGATATTGTAAGATGTTAGAAGAACATTCCAAAGGGTTAAAATATATTGTTTTTATTTCTGGCTGAACATGAACCTTAACTCCCTATTATGAGTCAATCTTCTGTGCTGGATCTTACTCCTTTGGGAGAGATTATTTTAGCCTGTACTGCAATGGGGGGAAAAATCTTAACTTACATTAACACATGAATTTCCACCATCCAAATTCCTGATTAAGAAGGCAAAATCTACCAAAGCAAAAGGCATTGTAATAAAACATAAATAAATTCTGCAGCAAAATGTGAAAGGAGTTTTAAATTTGTAGTTGAGCTAAGTGGAACTGTAATCCATACACTTCCTTTGGCAAAGTACATTAGGCTTACTAAAAGAGGCAGACCAATTAAGGCTGTCTGGAAATGATTACTAACCTGTGACTTATGAATTTATTTCCAAGGAATAAATGCTTTCCTCCATAAGCCATATGAGCTTTAATGTTTATGTGTATACTTATATAATGCATACATCTCTGCAGGGACATATATGTGCCTTTCTTGCAAAAAGTATTACCAGACCAGAAGAAACCTTAGAAAGTCTATAGTTCAACTTGACCATTGTGCAGGAAGGAGAAATGATACCAAAGTAGGTTATAACTTCCACCTGCTTGAGAGTGAGTAAACAGACACAGAAGCACACCTACATATTTTAAGATAGTTTWCTAAAAATCTAATATGTCTAAAAGCTTATTAAATCTATTACTGACTAGCTATTATTTATAATTGGGAATGTAATAAAATTATCATTTATGTCTCCACCTGTCTATTTACCAAATATATAGTTGAATCTTGGTCTGCATGTTGGTATACAAAATTGAATAAGTTGGAGAAAAGCTTTCCAGGTRTAAATAATAGAATATCTAACTTGGTCTAAATAATAAACATTCTTATTCAGCAAATGGGGGGGACTGTAAAGGCAAAAATTTGAAAACRTCTGCATACCAATCTAAGAGAGGTGGACTTTATTTTCCAATCAGGGAGGATATAAAGAGGGAGTACAAGATAAGGATGGCAAGATCAGATATTTGTATATGTTTATGATGTTTGAATGAGGATGAAGAAAACATGAAGGGAATATTGGTGGATGGAGGAAGTAGTGTACATGAACACAGATAGCCTTGTTTTAATAATCCAGACTTAAGCCTTGAAATAAGACTTTCATGTTGAAATGAACGCTACATCTCAAATATACATAAGCAATAGAATTTACCATCTTA